GTTTTATTTAGTAATTTTAAAGTACAAATCTACATGTAAAATATTGTGCTATTTCTGCAGCGGTTCCAGATTATGGACACTAATTGATTTTACTATGATGCTTATCCCGGAATTTTACTATGTGGATCCTTTCCTTCATTGATGGACCACGAATTAATTTTCAATCATTGTTCACCTTAACATCTTGATAGAAATCATCTGTTTGAAAAAATTTGAATATTTTCTCAAATGTCAATGGCTCCACACCCTGCTTTAGCTGTGTTGAAATTGTAAAACAATATCATTCAAGACAAAAGAGACAAGCCCAGGATGGCACTTGGTTGCTTCTTTCACATATTTGGCAAGTTGAGCGACATCCACTTCAGGAAGCAGTTTCAGATTTGAGTGACAAAAAACATCAAAGAAATCTGCATACTCTTGTTCAGAATACCAAACATCTTCAAAATTCCAAGCATTAATTTCATCTAAGTCAAAAGGAGATATAGTTTTAAGATAGCTTGGTCCACTATATGCTCCCCAATATCCATAGGATGCAAAAGCAACAATGTGGAGACCACCACCCTGTAGAACTCTCTTGACAGTGTCCCAAAACTTGTCACCACCAAATAGACAGGCTGATGCACCTTCTGGTTTGTATAACACCTGAATTTCATCTATGATCAGTATTGTTTGTACTTTGTCACACTCATGGACAAAGGTATCCCATGACAAGCATCCCATATAATCCTTGAATTGCTGTGCAAAATCCCAGTCTGATCCCTCCCTCCTCAACCATACAAGTGACATCCGAAATATACGTAGTTCATTATGTGTATTGAGTAAATAGTTTTCATAGAGTTGTGCAAGTGATGTCTTTCCAGACATTGGGGGTGAGCACACAAGCAAAAATCTTACATTCTGAAGGTGACTGTGTAACTTTGTTACAGTTGCCAGCCTCTTGCAAGTCAAGTTACTATTCACATCAACACCTTCAAAGTTTGTAAATGCTTCCTCCCGATAAGTTGTGCCACCAATTCCTCCTATGAGAGATAGTTTAGATGGAATGATTTACACATCTTTTGGAGCAATGATATGAAAAAGCATTTACCTAATCTTGGGGCATAACCAAACTGTTCCCTTAACCTCTGTATGCGACCTGGATCAGAAAGAGACACTGAACCTAATGCAAAAATAATATAACAAGAGTAAGTAAATAAATAAGTTTAGAGAATAGAAAATTTGAAACTTACTTTATTAAGTAAAATAAATAGGAGGCAATAGTTGTTTTTTTTTTAAAAAAAAATCCAATAAGTTATTGATAAAGCAAAAAATAAATTAAAAAAAAGGATTAAAATGGAACAATGACAGAAGAAATCTTATAGTGATCAAAAAACAGAGAATAAATATTACATTACCTCCAACTACTCCAACTACTCCATCATGCAAACAAAACAGTAAATTAAAAGAAATAAATGATATATGTTAGCTTCTTGTCAAAATGACTTTCCTTATATTGAGTATCATAATTTGACCAATATTGTAAATGGGTATAGTAAATGCTTCTTAAATGATAAAAGTAGTGGAAAGTTGCATAAACTATAAAGAACAATAGTGAATGCATTTGCCTGAATTTGCAATTTTAACAAATATATGAATTCAATGTTTTTCAACCCCTTTTTGAAAGTATTGTTTAACCTCTAATAATGGATCCATTTCCGTATAATCTTGTTCGTTGAAAGTTTGTTTGAATTCGGTAATAGCTTTTCTATCAATAGATATTCTCCACAAAGTAAGATGGCGAGCTAGAACTGGTATATCAGCAGCTTTGTCCTTGATGGCTCTCTTGAGCTCATAAATCGTTTCATTCAAATCGAATTTTACTGCAAATGGAGTGTCTTCATCTTGAGTTAGGCAAAATAGTGAGTCTAACACTGTTACTTTACTTTTGTCTTTATCTTTGGTTGTGCTTTCGTGCATTAATGAATGATTTTTAAGTTTAACTGCGAATTGTACGTAATTGTTATAAATTTATTAATAATTTCGACCAATGTTAAATTAGTAGGCACATGACTTGGAATTTAAATAGTCGCAGGACATTGCAGATCAAGTGTCATTCAATATAAACGTTATATATATAAAAAAAGTTTTTGAGTTTTTAGTTGATGATCACATCCATATTAGGTAACCCAATGTTTATTCTTATTGCCGATTTTACTATTTATGGAATGACTAGGAAATATCACATGACAAAACAATTTTTATTGCATTTTTGATTGGAAATTTTTTCCCAAAATTCGTCGTCGTAGTGCAGTAAGTTGCGGGATTAGGTGTCCTGCACTGTATTACTATATACAAGGGGTTTATAATAATAATAGTAATTTAAAAGCAAAATTACGGCCTAACAATTATGAAATCACATGACAATGATTCCCAACATGATTTAGAAACCAAGAATTGGCTATATTAGAAACGCGCAAATAAGTATTGTGTTAATTGTATTAACATTTATTGATCCAGTCAACAAGGAATTTGAATTGATTTTTGACAGAGATAATTTTTGTTTTTTAAAAGGAAAATCTTTGTATTGTCATTGAGATTATAGGATAATAGAAATCACATTACAGATTCGATTCATCTCATATCTTGAACAATTCTCTAATGGCAGGAATTTTTTAAATTTTATCTTTGTATTTATTCTGAGCAAAATGGTTATTATTCAAAATCAAACTTGAATATGAAGAATTGTAGATGGTACAAGTCACTCCAGTTATAATGACACTCCATGTGCAAGCAAAAAATGTCAGTATAACGAGATTGTCATTATAATGGGAGTTCATATAAAAGTCGCGTGAGAAACATTATCATATGATTTTATAATAGTTTGAAATTAATTCATTTAGCCTCTCTAAAACTCTGCTTATTGTTTTTTTTTTAATTCTTGCAAACTATCTAATGGGCGATCCTCCACTATAAACTTTGGTACTTGCTCTTGTTGTATATAAGTAAGAAGGTTTATGCAACTTTTCAATGCATTGTTAGTATTAATATGAATAAGATTTTCCTCCTCCTCCTCCTCTTCTTTAATTATGTTTTATAGCTTCATCAAACCAAATTGCTAGAGTTTCTTCTAATTGTGGCCAATTTGCTTGCTGATTCTTTTTAAATTGAGAAGTGAAACAATTTCATCAACAGAAAGCCATTTGTTTGATTCTGATAAAATTACTGAAACTGTGCTTTGACTAATTTCATAATCTTTAGCTAATTTATCTTGAGTTAAGCTAAGATCATTTTAGCACACTTACATAGTTCTTTTTTTTGCAAAGCACTTAAAGAACTTCTTTTTTTGGATGAAGGTGCAGAGGTTGAGGTCATTTTTAAAACAAAATTTAATTATGATTTTAATAATTCATTGTCTAATTAACCAATTAGTCATATTAATCAACGTTTTTATTGTTTCAATTTTTGATTGGTTCTCTCGTTATACTGACATGTCATTATGTCAGTATAACGGGATAAATTCTATAATTAAAAAAATTATTTTTGACAAATTATGTCATTATACTAGTATAACGGGATAAATAGTGTGTCATTATAACGGGCATAAATTTGTAATTATAAATTTAGTTTTTAAAAAAATGTAATCACAACAAGATTGTCATTATAACGAATGTCATTATAACGGGAGTGACTTGTATTCAGTATACTTATGGATCCTTTCAAAGGCATAACCTCCAAAATTCAACAAAATGAGTTCTCAGAATTATTTTTAAAAGTAAAAATCAATGATAAATTAAATTGTCAAAGTAACATGGAATTCTCATATTATCCATGTGGATTGTTTGAGGACGAGATGTGTTTTGTTTGTGGTGAACAATGTGAACAAGAGGATATTTTGAATTTTATTGCTGTTGTGATAATGTAGTGAAAAGAAAAAGCGTAGAAAACCACTCTTTAGTGGTCTTACATTTCACATTTTTGAGGAATTAAAGGGCTTGCATGACCAATAAAAAGTCCAGCAACTAAGTGACTTGCATTGTACTATATAATTGATTACTAAAATGTTAATTTTATAAGAATGTTTTTATTAATGTTATATTTATATAATATGAGGAGATATTATATTCACTAAAAAATTTGCGGATTGAATATAAAAAAATTGTTGTATGAATATTATGTATATGTAAATGTATGCATAACGGTTCACTATATATTAAGAATTATCCACCTATATATATGTGTGTGTGTGTAAATAAATTAATAATGATTTTAATAATTTTAATCAAATGATTTCTTATTACAAACCTAATTGTTCAACCATAACATCAATGGAATCACCATCATCCATATCCAACTAATTATAAAAAAAAAAAAGATATAAATCATAAATAATGAAATAATTAATTCTTTTAAGAAAGGTATAAACACATACATCTGCAGGTGTGTTGTGGCTTTGTACACGATCACCATCATAAAGAAACCTAAGTGATGAAGAAGATTTTCCTTGTCTCTCACAATAAGTATCCATAAGTTTTTTTAATTGTGTTGTTCTTTTGATCCTGAAAAATACTTCATTATGATCCTAATAATAATAAAAAGGTAATCTATTATTAGCATATAATGTATAAAATATAAAATAAATGCTACTATGCATCATTTTCAATGAGTTTGTCTTTCTTATTCACGCGTTTTATTCATAGTTATTTTAGTTTCATGATATATATCATTTTTTATCTTAACACATAAATAATTTTCTCAACAATTATATAGGATATATGGTAAAGGTAACTTACGCTTCCCACAACTTTGATATTAATATGTTCGTCGCTTTTTTTGATGTCACTGTTATTTTTTTTATCATCGTTATTGTTACTTGTTTCTTCATTAGATGGTTGAGTTGAGTGAGACTGTTGTTTTTCTGACATGTTATTGATAACTTATTTGTTAATATATGTATAAAAAAGGCTTTGTTATTTAAATTAGGACTTGTAAAAAAAATTTTTAAATGAAAAGGATTTACTATATATTACACGAAACTAATCGCGTTCGTTGTATTATTATATTAGGGGAACGCCATAAATTACGCACCAGAGGGCCCCGGGTTATCATATGAGGTAACGTTCAGGCTGTTAGTATTAGTGAATTCGAAATTTTTACCCTTTTAAGCATCTACCATCTTATCTCCCTTTTACTCGTTAAATTTAAAAAACATGTGACTTCATATGTAACCATTGAAATATATAATAATACTTGGGTTTTTAAATATATTATCCAATGTATCTTTAATAGTTGTTGATGCTCTTTATTTATTCTTAATAAACCTATATATGAATATGATATAATATTATTATTTCCAAGATAAAATAAAACATTATTAGTATTAGTAATAAGGCAGAAAAGGAAAATCACAACTTTCTATATCATTCTAGTGACGTATAATTCAGGATCAATTTTGTTCATAATGATAATTTGTACATAATAAATATCTGTTTCGTTTGTTGCTATATCATTTCATTACAGCAAGAAATTGCGTTGGGGTTAATTCTGATTTAGGAATTGAAATACCCACCAATAATATAATAAAATTGCTCTAGAAGACATCAAAACCCATACATATTAATATTAAATATGTGAAGCAAAAATTTTAAAAATCCGTCATGACAAGAATTTTATTATTATTATTATTATATAGTCTGCTATGACAAGGTTTGATTGTACAAGTGAATAGCCAGTTTTATAATTAAATATGGTTTTCAATTAACCACAACTAGTTACAACTAATTGCGGCTAATTGCAGTTCCCGACCTTATTTGTCTTTATTCGTATATTGTCTGATTCTGCGATGCCGTAGACTTTTATACTAATAAAAAAAGTATAATGTGAAATGAACAAATTAGTAAATAAAAAGCTTACTTTTTCAACTTCGGTTCGGGTACTACAACAACTTTGGTTCTTTAGCCCCTTTTCATCAGGTGGATTTGGTATAATAGATTTAATATTTTCGGGTTCATTGAAAATTAAATTAATCTACCTATTCGAAGAGAATATAATTTGAAGACGAAGACTGATTTTTTATTCCATTACAAAAAGATAAAAAATTATAATTCAAGTTCATTTTTAAAAGAATAACATATTCAAAAGAATGTGGCTTCTTTATTTCCGATGATTCTTGCTGTCTCTGGACTTCTTTTCCTTTTCTTGATGAGAATTACTTTTTTATAATGCTTCTTTATAATGTTCTTTTACAATGTCTTTTTTTCCAAATATAATTGTCATTATTAAAATTGCTATTACACGGTTGGCGGAATTTTTATGTTTAAAAAAAAGATCAATAATTTTAATGATTAAAGAATTGTTACGCGACCATAAAAAATTATTATTATTATTATTTTAATTGATTATCCTTATTCCTTATACATACATACATTTTCAATGATGACAAATCAATCATTCTCTATTTTAATATGTTTTCAAGATCAACAGTGAGTGATGCCAATCAATTGTTCTTTATATAATTTCAAGGTCAACAATGTCTTGGAATTGCCAATATGTTTTCAAGAATGTGTTTTAAAAGACAAAGGTGTGTGATTGTTTGATAATAAAATGAAATGTTGTCTGACCGTTCTGTATATATTATTTTCCTTTTATTATTATTATTACTATTATTATAGATAAGATATTTGATTGGATCAGACCAGATCCAATATTTTAAAGAACTATGGGCCAATCTGTTCAGGGCCCATACTTTAGTCTTAATATGGATTAAAAATGGCAAGAATATCTTTACAATAATATTTTTCCATTTGTAAAGGATGAATTTAAAGATATTACTTGTCCAAACCAGCACAAAGTGTTGACAATTAACCCAAGTTGACTGAAAATTATTTCTCTTCTACTTTTTGTTTTTTTTCGGGTTCTTCATCTACCGATTTAAGAGGAAGACAAATAATCATCAACACTTGAGTTAGCATTTACAAATTGAAGCTGACTACCATCTGACATTTCAATGAAGAGTCTTAAAATAAGCAAGTGAATATAACTATATTTCCCCCTTTTTGAAAATGTAACAACAATTTGATGAAATAACTTCCCTCCAACAAAGACATTTCATCAAGTATCATTAATCAATTACACCAATCACCATTCTATTTATTGGACTAAAACGTCATGTTATTTGTAAGTATAAATATGCTTGGAATCCCCCAGTGAAAAAAAAATTAATAAATAATTTATTGATATTTCAATAATATAATATCCTAACACTGGTAATAAAAATAAAAATAAAAATAAAAATAACACTTTACATAAAAATAGCCCTTGACTGTAATTAATTAATAAAGATGGTGTGATTGATTTATAACCCTTTCTGATGATTAATGAATGGTTTTGCCAATCTTTAATTATTAGTTAGAGTCCCTTTTTATTTTTACTATATTGCTTGTAGGGATGCCTCAAATATAGAGTTTCTATCCATAATACAAATTCTTATTTGAATTATTCATTTCAAATTATTTGTTTTATTTGAATTACTCGTTTTATTTGAATTATTATTCATTTATTAGAATTACTCATTTTATTCAAATTATTATTTGTTTTATTTGAATTACTTGTTTTATTCAATTTAATTAGAATGCTCATTCATAACAAATAAAACAAATAATTCGAATAAACTTTATTATTAGTAATAGTAATAATAAATTCAGCTAAAGACATAAAAGTTGTAAACCATAAAATCATAACAGTAATGCTGTGATTATTTGCACCCTATAGATATTGCAAGAGTGTGATCCGAGTTTTTATTTGAATAATAATATGGGATATGTGTACTGTCTGACTGAGTGAACTAAATACATGTATATATTTCTCATTATATAATCTAATATATAAAATTTATTTACAAATTTTAATTAAAATGAAGACAGTAAATAATCAAACAATTTATTAACTTGGTAATATTTGTCAAGGTAATAGTTGTGGTGTATTATTATTATTTATTATTTTATTATTTTAGATAAATAAATATTAAAAAGAAAATTCAATTAATTGATATTTTTTTAACATTTAGGCAAATATATTCTTTTCCATATTCACTTGCATATTCAATGGTTGATTTGTCAAGGTAATTATTAGGGTATTAAAAATCCAACCAATTTGAACATTATTTTAACATTTATAGTCAACCCCCCTAAATGCACACCCTCTCTAAAATGCATGCCCGTGACTTTCATGTGATTTTATGCATTGTTGATCGTGTAACCTTAGAAAATTTTTACACTTACCTACATGTTGTCAAATTTAATTTGGCTTTGACTTAATTCCCAAAACTCAATTTTTAATTGTGTCTTGACTCAATTACTTATATGTTTTTCATATGACTCAATTAATTGCATCAAAAAGTCACCCAATTGAGTCAAGTGTAAGCATATTAACTGAAGTTGGCCTTTTAATAATGGTGAAATAGTTTTTCATAAATGTCAAAATTAATTTTATTAGTTGCCAAAATTATATCTGAAATTATTTGGACTCTTTAAAAGGCTGAGTAGATTTTTATGTCTATTGATACAAAGAATATTGTAAATCCAAAATTGCTTGCTAAAATTGATTTTTTTCAAAAACCATTTTGGTTAACATTCTTATCAACCTATTTCTACCATAGTTAACAAGTTTGGAAATTGTCCATGCAATGAACAAGCAAAATCAGTTAATTCTCTTGAAAAATATATTAGCTTAAAAAAAAATAAATACAATGGAACAAATTACAATAGATAGATTCATGTCTTGAATTTTTTTTTGTAACTTGCATATTCAATGATTGATTTGTGGTTGTTTAGTCTACAGTTGAATGATGAACTATTGTTATATGACCAACAAGAGAAACAATTAGCATCAACATCAACATCAACTAATGGGTAATAATACTATTATCAATAATAATTCTATTGTTTATTGTAATTCATAATTACTTGTGTTACCAGGCCTGGATTGAGTGAAATTTCCCCCACTATAGAAATGATCAACATATCTCTGATCCATAGATGGATGGATATATAGCTATTTTACAATTTTCACAGACAGGTTGAACAACTATCAAAGTAAATTTAAATGTAAGACATTAGTGAGTGATTTGAGATATTTAAAGCAAAAACAAAAGAGTCCACTAAAAAAATTTTTTAGATTGATGTAGAGTTGACATGCATGAAAATTAATGAATAAATTGTAATTGATTCAAATATATATTTAACATTTATTTTTAAAATATTCTTAGAATGATCATAATTATAAAAAATATTTTTAGAACTTGATTAATGAAGTGAATATTCTAAAGAAAAACTACAAGTAATCAATAATCATCATGCATGTATTTAGAAATAATTTATATTTTACTGATGTATCTTGTACTAATTTTATTCAAATTTTATAGAACACAATAATGATACTGTTTGTGTCAATGATGATATTGATAATAGGATTAATGAAGAATTAATGGTATACTAAATTTTATTATACATCAGGAAATTTTTCTGACATGAATTTACATAATTATGAGGCACAACATAAATAGTATAATAATAAACTTATAGTGTAAAATTACAGTGGGAAAAATTTCCTGATGTATATAGGATGTTTGTTGATAATGGCAGTGATAATGGTGATGGAAATGATAGTGACAAAGAAGAGATATATGATTATATTTTTAATTTTTATAAAAGCACCTTAAGAAAATATATTTAATGACTGAAAAAAAAAAAATTTAAAATTTAGAGTTTGTATAATGATGAAAAAACATTGAATTTGATTGTGAGACTAAATGATGAAATTTGACTATTGACTGTATCAGAAATTATTTTCATAAATACAAATGTATTGTCACAAAGAATTAATCAATGGAGGAAAAAAAAACAAAGAATGTAAAATTGGCAGTTAAACTATTTCTTTGGTTTATGAAGAAGTTCAAATAATTGCTATCTAACAATAAAATAGGCCTCAAAAACAAATTAATAGAAGAGTTGGATATTTCTGAGACCACCAAAAAACAATATTTTGTGTGTAATGAGATTGAAAGAATTGTTAGATTACACCACAAAAGATATTATTTTGAGAATAAGGTTTCTGGTCAAAACTATCTCTCTTACATCAGGAAGTTTTGTAAGTGTTGATACATGCTGATTAATGCATTAATCAACATTAGATCAATGATCATTACGTAATTTATGTTGATTTGAATAACAATGTTAATTACACTTTTAACTTAAATAATTAAATGCACGTTGAATAACAATAATAATAATAAATAAAACATAAAGTGATTTAGAGTCATCACATTTATCATAAAGTTGGAACAACATGAATTAATATTTAAAAAAATCGATTTTCATTTTGCAACAAAATCATATGGAATAATTTACCAACTGTATCATTGGTATAAATTTTTAAATCAAGTATTTTAATAAATATACCTTTCCAATAGGGTTTCTATTCAAACAATAATGAAACTAATAAACTAATAATTCAAATAAGGATTTATATTATGAATAGAAACTCTACTTTCCGAAACAAGGATCTTGATCTGTACGATAGTCATCAATTTCTTCCTTATTCATTTTAATTGCTACGTTTCTGCATGGTTACGAAATGCCTAGCATCTTAAAAAGGTTCTTGTACGATCATTATATTTCAACATCATAAATAATAGTTCTATTGAATAAACCAATATTAAAGTAATAACAAATTTATAATGATTATATTTAATAAAATAATGATGATAAAGTAAATTATAACAATTTAAACTACGTTGTGTCAATCTCTAATTATAAAAATGATGGATTTTTTAATTTCCTTCTTCTTTTCATCCTTTTCAATTTTTTCTAGTCAAATATGAATAGAAGAAATCGCACAAAGATTCCTCTAATAAAGTAACGAACTTGAATTCCTTATTTCGACCAACTCTCTTAACAAGAGCTGGTGCCATGATATGCCTTTTGACTATATAAATTTTTTGTTTGGAGATACGAATTAGTATGTCTTATAAGTTTATCTCTATTTCCAACAAAGAATGACAGGACTAAAGAAAGTTAATTCCAAGGCAGATATGAAGAAAGAAAATGATCCCGTAGTCCAATTTCAAGGGAAAAAAGTCATGTAATTGATGTTATAGGTGGTAAGGGTATAGAAAATCAAAAGAATAATTTCTGGTTTGGCCAAAGATTCATTTTTTTATTATTGCCAGCTTTACCAATCCAAATGTCAATTAAGGAAAAAAATCGATATCAATGTGCAAAGTAAGTTAAGCATTTCAATATATGTTGGTTTTAAACTTTCTCATTTGCTATTATAGTCAAAAATGACATGTTGAATAGACTGATAAGTAATTAAGAGATAATCATTGAAGACATTAATGATAATATTAAAGCAAAACTTGTTTAATATAATAAAAAACTGGACCAGTCTTTAAGCACTTCCAATGATTATGTGGAAATAATAAAAAGAAAACTAGAAGATGATTTTATTGTAAGTATTATAAAGTTTTTTTTGTAAAGATTTTATTATGAAAATAATTACATGTATAATTGGTAGGATGAAGTTAATGACATTAATGTTTAATTTTTAATGTGTTCTCTTTACATAGCTTTTATCAGCAATTTGCACTAAGTGAGGATATTATGTTTATCATGTGAAACAAGCATTGTGGAGCACTTTGATATTTCTTATCCCTTGCCTTTTAATGATAATTGGAAAAAAGATCAAACGAAGGAATAGAAAATGGTGCTAAAGCTAAAATGGCATATGATGAATTGTTGATCCACATAATAATCAGTCAATCAGACATTTATGTTGCAAAAATAATTAACGTAACATTCACTAATAATGAGCGAACTGCTCTAAATGTGCTATGGATTCAAGCCATCTTGGAAATAATCTTTGATCTGGAATATCTGTCACCAAAGCTTGATACCAACATTGCTGATTAGTGCTTTGAACTTTTACAGAAACAGCAATAAGCACAATATTGTTGTTGTTGTTGTTGTTGTTGTTGTTATTTAGTTATATGGTGCTCATTTTAAAAATAATGTAATACCTTTAATACCTTTTATCATGTTGCTTGATAAAATGCAAATTAAATTATTTATAGTTATTGATGATTGGCATACTGTAAGTATATTATTGCGTTGTGCAATGCCTATTACGCATTATGCAACATTTTGATTTTCAATACCGTTTGTTTGCATATGATCTGTTGGTTATCACTTTTTTGGTGTTAAAAAACAGGAACGTTGTTTAATGAATGCTATTTGACGCCTCTAAAGATTTTCCGATGAAATCTTCAAAAGAAAATGTTGAAATTTTTGAATTTCTTAAAATAAACCTTCAAACTAGATTTAACATCAAAATATTGAATGCCTTTTCCACCTTCACATTGAGTTTACACAATCCTGCAGTACTAGATCTTTTTACAACTTCTACAATATAATTCATATGATCTATACTTGATATAATTTTTTAATCAATCCAAAGCTACCATCACATTTGAATTTGGTATGTTCTGTGATCATGAAATTAATCCAACAATTTCATGATAATTACAAATTATTAAATACAAATAATCAAATGGTTATTTTGTCCACAGCATTATCATTTATTCAATTTAATATTAAGGGAATCAATTTAGTGTAACAAAAGTTAATAATTTAACCCTGAAATTTCTTTGCAACGTAATTGCTCATTTTTGTTCTGATCTCGATTTTTATTATTTCTTTGGACTTTTCAATATCAAAAAATAATAATAATGGTAATTATTTCTGTTACTAATTATTAAGTCTAATTAATTGACAATTTGAATAATAATAAATAATAAATAATAATAAATAATAATGAATAAATTATTTAATTGTCAAAAAAAATTTTTTAATTTAAAGCTTACTCCACTTATCTATCACCTGCCTTTTACTAACTTCTCTCTATCCAATTTTATTTATTAGTTTCGTAATCAATATGATAATGATATTTCTACATGGAGTCCTCAAGGTCGTATTCATCAAGTAGAGTATGCTTTAGAAGCTGTAAAACAAGGATCTGCTGCTGTTGGCCTAAGATCTAAAACTCATGCTGTTCTATTAGTATTAAAGGTATTAATCAATGGATTTGAGTGGGATATGAATGGATGGTTTGATTGATTATTAATAAATTGAAACTATTTATTAATTTAGTTGAATTTTTAATTGATTCACTAATAAAACATTACTATTCTCCTTTTTTATTTGAAAGAGATCTACTGGTGAATTGGCATCTTATCAAAAAAAAATCATTAGAATTGATGATCATATGGGTATAGCAATAGCTGGTCTAACTTCAGATGCAAGGGTTTTAAGGTTACTTTCTTGCATCAATACTAAAACTTTCTACTAATTACTACTATCTATTATAACCTCTGTTTTACAATTGATTGATTTATTTATTACATATCTCTTATCACTATCCTTCGTCGTCATCTTTTATAGTAATTTTATGCGTACTGAAGCAATGAAATCTAAAATGATTTATAATCGTCCTTTACCAATTTATCGTATCGTCTCTGCAATTGGTGATAGTAAGCATTCTATAAACACACATGTGTGTGTGTGAAAAAGAATGTTAATTCAAAACTTTAAACAATTTATTTATTAATTTATTTAGAGGCTCAAATAAATACTCAAAATTATGGTAAAAGGCCTTATGGTGTTGGTTTATTGGTTGTTGGACATGATGTAAATATTAATATGATAATTATGATAATATTATTTTAAATTTCATTTAACAAATTTAACACATCAATCAATCAATCAATCGTTCGTTCGTTTGTTAGGAAACTGGTCCACATTTATATGAATGCGCACCTTCTGGTAATTTCTTTGAATATTACGCAATGTCAATTGGTGCAAGATCACAATCTGCAAAAACATATCTTGAAAAAAATTGTGAATGTTTTAACGATGGTAACTTACTATTACACTATTACTACTAACTACAAATGATATTTATTTATTTAACTTGAATTTTCCTTTTTTTTTTTTCCTTTCTCTTTTCTCCTCTTCTCCTCTTCTCCTCAAAGCCTCATTGGATGAACTTGTTAAACATGGTCTACATGCACTTCGTGATACACTACAATCAGATAAAGAACTTACGACATTAAATTGTTCAGTTGGTATAATTGGTGCTGATCAAAAATTTGAAATTATAGAGGGTGATAAATTACAACGATATTTGGATTTGTTGGATACTGCCACTACCAGAAATACAGGTGATGATGGTGGTGACGATGATCATGATAATGGTGAATCATCTTCTACTCAAGATCAAGAAACCACTGTGTCAATGGATACAGAATAAATAAAATATTAATATTAATAACAAAATATATTTTCTGATATACATGGTTCTTGTGTGTGTGTGTGTGTGTGTGATATATATTTATTATTATCAAAAAATTTTTTGAGAATTCCTCTTTTTCTAGATATCAATGCCGTTTGTCTTTAAGAATTCGTCAGTTAGAGTGGCAAAACAATCAACTTTAGTCTTTTCGGTGGTTGCCATTATATTATGTATGTTATGTTAACAAATCGACTACTTATTTTTTCAAATAAAAATTATTTGCCATAGAGTCGGTTCGTATTGATGGTGGATTTGTTTTTAAAGATTTATACTAAAAAGTGAAGAGGAAGTTTGATGATTTATAATCTCAAAAATATTTCGCACGGAACATGTAATTTGTCAATATATCAAAGAATATGTGGCATATGGTGTTGGCGTATCAGTTGTTGTGCTATATATTACAAAAAAAATATGTAGAATTTGTAACAAGCTAACCAATTCCCGCACCGGACACTTGCAACATTTCGAAATATGCCACTTGTCTGGAAGGTATTTTTTATCGCCTTACAATAAGTAAGTATATGAAAAAATTTAAAAGAAATTGAATATTATTCAGCAATCAACCCTTGGTTATTGGTGGGTTTTTACTTCGTAAAACGAATCTTTTTTTCCAAACGAATCCCGTTACCATCATCATCATCATTATGTATTCTACAAATTCCAGTCCATCATTGGTGAATAGGAACACCAAGTTACGTTTAGTTATTGACCTTGATCAGTCAGATATTGTTTTTTCCCACTCGTTAGTCTTATTAAGCCATTAAGTACTCGTTCATTCACTCTTTATTGCGTCATAGCGAATAATTTAGTCTATGAATTTTTTGGGATCAATTCCTGGATTTACCAAAGAGCGATATAACCGTATATCACTTTTCAATTTATCATTGAAAGCGACTGCTTTATTTTCGTTCATAATATTCAAAAATTGTTTAGGATCCGTAGCACATTGGCGAAGGTGATCTTCTCTTGGTAGTCTGGATCGATATTATTAAATGATTAGAAATGTTTGGTAATTCAGTCACCAAATTGTAGACGATGCTGGAAGTTCCAGCTATAATCAAAGAGGTCTTGGATCTTTAGTAGGCTCTTTAATTTTTTCACGATCAAGAAAAACAAATATCACGTGACTTTGATGTATTTAGAAGGATCTGCGTATTTAAAAAAAGTTTATATTTGATATCGGGTATAGATGTCAAATAATAATATATTTTTATCAAATCAAATGGTTCAACTTGTACGTTCTTTGAATGGCATATGTGTTATATCATATTGCAACAAAGTTTATGACTTGATTATAAAAATTTTTAAAAATCAACATTAGCAATTAAATTTTATATTATTTTATTTTTATAGATCAAAATGGCTATTCATTTATGATGATGGTGATGGTGATGGCGGTAATATTGTAGTTGATAATATATTTTGTGAGGAATTTATGACATTGTTACTATTACTATTACTACTATTACCATTGTTATTATTGCGATTTCTCGTACGAAGTTTTTTGGTTTCTTGTTTAACCAAATATCCTCTATTAATCGGATTTGAATACCACGCTAATTATTAATAAATAACATGATTTAGATTAAAAATAAATAAATAAACTAATTTAATTTAATAAATATAATTTAAAAAATTCTACCTATATCTTTTTGTTTTTTTGGATTTGCAAATTTAGGTAACTTCCAAAATTTTTCTGGATGAAGAGTCGCTCTTAAAGCTAACCTATTAAAATATTTACAAGTTACCGTACCGCCACACCTTTCGACTGCTTTAATGGCCTTTTGTGATGCTCTTGCCACTTCAATATTAATCCGAGTATTAAAATATTCTGATCCCTATTTCGTTTATTTATTTTTTAACAGAAATAAATATATTAAAATAAATTATACACAAATATATTTATTTGTACAATTCGCATTTATAATTTACATCAGCCAATAATTTCACTCCATCTTTAATTCCTCTAACGCATCTTGTCTCATGGAGATGTTTCATTGTTATCAATTCATTAGGATTAATTTTATCAACATTTATCCAATGTTGTAATCGATCAAGGTTTAAAGGTGCATAAACTTTGGCGTTACTAAAAATAACATAATAAAAATTATTGAGGGTTACCGTTTTTATTATTTATTTATAATAAAAAAGGAAATAATTACTAATTATGAAATCCACGTTTTGGAAAAGCTTTAGTAATAGGCGTTTGACCACCTTCAAATCCTCTTCTTGGATTGCGAGTACCGCCTCTTGCTTTTTGTCCTTTTTGTCCTCTTCCACTTGTTTTGCCCACACCTGATGCAGGCCCACGACCTACACGTTTAGGCTGTTTATATTTTAAATAATATTAATAACAATTCTTATTTTTATTCCCATTACAAATAATTGATTTTTTTTAATAATTACTCTTGAAAAAAATCCTCCATACATATATATATTTTTTTTTTTTGGTAAATAATTTAATAAATTAAATTTTTTTCACACCTGAGAAGTGGCTTTTAGATTATCGCTTAAGGTATTTAAACTAATCTTATTTACAGGTGGTTTTATAAATATTGATGTGGTTGCGTAATTTTTCGTTATTTGATTTTTTGAAATATTAGGTGTATTGTTGTATTTTAATACGTTTGTTAATTGTTTAGTTAAAATAATTTTTGATTTATTATTAAAAGTAAATAATAACAAAGACTTGGAAAAACGAAACATTGTCGCAAGAATGGTAATGGAGAAAAATGGTTGAAAATTTTTTATATAAATAAATTTATTTTTGATTATCCAATCGATGCTTATAATTTGTACGACGGGGACTGCATTAAAAAAAGCTTTAAAAAGATGGGTGGGTATCACTATAAATGAAAAAATGCCTCGTAACCTTGCACCTGTTGGTTTTCTTTCCTCTTCTTTTCGTTTTGAATTTTTTTTAAGACAAACAAATTTTCAATGTCAACCACAACAATAAAACCTGTTATTTATTATAACGGTCGATTTCATTTTGTCGAAGAGGATTGTGCTTCTAAGTTTCATTTTGATACAGAATATGCTATATTTCAAATTTATAATTTAAAAGTAGGTTATAATATAAATTTTTTTTTGAATACAAATTTAAAAATTTTTTTTTTAATTTAAATATGAGAATAGGTTGGTAAACAAGAATTTGCTGAAAGGCTTTCCGAAGTGACAGGGCTAGCAGGATCCGTCACGTTTTTAAATGAATTTGAAAGAATGTACACGAGGCATTCTGAAAATAGAATAGAAATTGGAGCTGGTGCATCACATGAAACCAATAATTCTGATAGGTTAAAGGTAATGATGATTAATTTTTAATATGAATATAAATAATTTTTAAAAAAAAAATTTTGACAAATCAAAATTATTATTAAAAAAATGTAGATAAAAATAAAATTTAGTAACAAATCACATGAAAATTTAATTGAAGAGCTTCTCACATCATCAAAAATAGCATTAATGACATCTAATGGATTTTCAGATTGGGTACCATTAGATAGTACAAGTTATGAATGTATACTTCAATCATCAACAGCAAGACATGATAATAATGGTGGTAAGGATGAAATGAGACAATCATTACTGAGAGCTCTTAGCGATACAATAGATCCTGTTTTATTAGATGTAGTGATTGATGATTTATTGGATGACTTCGAATCAAGTGCATTTGAAAAATTATTTCCTGGTCCAATTATAACAATTTTCAGAGGTCAAAATAGAGTTTCCATGACTGTGGTATTAACATGTAGTAGATTTTCATTTGATGAAGATATGGGAAAAATTTTTATTGATATATTAAATTCTTTAATTCAAGATAGAAAAATTGAAAAAACTTATGAAAAGGTAATTTATTTGCTATTATCATTAACAATATTTTCAACGATTGTATTAACAATTATATTATTAATGTTATAATAATAATAGCATATATATGATTCATTTTTCTTATTGGTGGTTAGATTATTAAATTTGATTAGAGATTTGGTGCACCTTAATGCTACATATGAAGAATTTTATTCACCTGGCGTATTTCCATTATTTACAGGATCAATTAAATATTTGAAGGTTAAATATATTGAAAGTTTGACAGATCTTGAGAAATCTCTAATTGATGTTGGGTTTGAAAAATTTGAAGGTAATAATATTGTATGTTATGTAATATGTAGTATATATAATGTAAATCTGTAAAATATTACTTGTTATTTAGATAGGCTTCAAGAGTTATCAATGATGGTTCGTGAAATAGACCAAACACTTGAAATGGCTTCTATAAATCTTCAAACATATATAAACAAGTGGAAAAGATTCAAAGGAAGAGCCAATTTATATCATTTATTATCAATGTATGTATCATTATCGTCATCATCTTATCATTATCGTTATTAATTATTATTAAACAATTAAAATCGTCAAATTATAGTCTTATGGCAATTGCTTTACCATCAATATATTATTATAATAATACATTTGGTGAAGCAATAGTAAGTGAAAATGTAAATTACAAATTAGATGATTTTATTTATTTATGACAATAATAATAATACATCTTTTTTTGAAAAATTTTGATTTAGACAATATTTGGGTGTATGATTGGCTGTATAATTTTTTTGATAAGTGCATTTTGGAGTGGATGGCTACGTAATAATTATAGTAAGGCAATATCATTACATAAAAAGGCCATACCAATTCATTCCGAAACAGCAAATAGTGTAGAGGCATTACAAAGATGGTTAAATAGAATTTCTATAGTTAGAAGATGTAAAGTACCAATGAATAATAACGAATTAAAAAATAGAAAGACCATTCTATATTATTTATTTGATGAATTAGTTACTGCTTCTGCAGAACTTAGATTAAGTATTAGTATAAGAGATGAGTTGAAAAGATATAAATGATAAATATGAATATGTGGTGGGTGCTAAGAATGAATCAATAATTTATTGTGTTTGGTGATTTATTTAGATTGCATTTATTCATCAATCATTTTGTTTTATATTGATTGAAATTATGATTATTTTTAGTTTTGTAGAGATATTTATTTATTTGTAAAAGAAAAGACCTGAAAAGCAAAATTTTTGATTAGGCATCATATTGGTGTAACTTCAGTTTTCAATTTAGAAATCGAGTTTTTTCAAAAATATATTAATATTAATATTAATCAACGATCCGCCTATAACTACCGATATTTCTTTCTTTTCTTTTTTGTAAGCGCCCCACTTTTAGTGGCGACCCTCACAAATGCATAGTAATAGAGGGTGTGCATTTATCTCAAAGTCCCGAGCTTGGAACTGGGACACAAGGTGCACTTACGGAGGGTATTCTCCACTGCACGGTCTTTTCCCGGTCTAATTCATATGATAATAAAGACTCTGAAAGCCGTGGCACGGTCCGAATTTGGAAAAATGAACGCAAAAAAAAAAAGAATTATCGGAAAAAATATTAAACATTAATATTGTTCATCTTTATATATTCAATTAAATTTTTTTAAAAAAATGCAACGCTTATTACAAGGTAGTGTTAAAATATTAATCAATATACTATTCTTTTATATCAAAAACAATTCATGTAATTACTATTATATCGGCCAATCAGAATGATAAAATACTCTAGCTTTGATCATTTTCATTATAATTAGTTTACTTTTTTCTAACCTTACTGAATAAAGGCACACTTTTTCAAAGATCATCAATTTTAACTTGATTGTACAAAAATAATCATGTGGAATGCACGCATAATAATAATAAATACGGGAAAACGTACTTTTGATGCAGGAAAAGACACTTTTCCGTATCTAAAAATACGGAAACGGTCATAAGTAGTAGCAGTGTAATAATTACGTAAATTCAGTCCCATTCCGCAAAACAAACTATCTTTCTGAACAGGTACTTTCTGTATTAAAGATCGCCATGCCACAATAAAAAGTTACTTTTTTGTATAGTCCATGATGATTTTGAGAATACTGCTTTCCCAGCTAATTGTAATAAGGGCATGACCATCGGCAAGTCGACAAAATTGACGTTCTCAACCTAGCAAAAGACCTCAAATTATGGATGGTTAATATCAACCTTACCATGACAAACTCTCAATGAAACGCTCTCGATGACCGCAATTCTGTCATTGTAGTGTTTCTAGTGGCTAGGAGTTGAGCCCTGTAAATTCAGTTGAAGAGAAATTCCCACACACTTGCTAATAAGCACATTCACGTTATTATTGAGGTGCCTGCTTTTCCTGCTTCTGCTGATAAATGAAGAAAAATAATCTCGTGGAGTATTACATTGAGTAGGAAAGTGTGCGAATAATTGCATCTCTTGTTAATTATATGAAGAAGTTGGTGAATGGAAATGTAAGAAATCAAAATAGTTAATCATAGTGGGAACGCGTTTACTAATTTCATGCTTCTAACGGTTACTCGAAAGCACGTACAAAATCTACATAATCGCCAACGTTGAATTAAATGATTGTTGAAAACGACTCAACGACTCACTAAATATATTGATTGATAGATAAGTAGGTTTTGTTGAACATCTCTTCCGTATCTTTTCAACCTTTTATTTGTTTTATTTCAGGAATACGAAGAAGCCAAAAGTCTCTATCTCGAAGATAAATCAAGCGCAATTAGATGAATTGGTCAACCACTTACAGTTTCGTCAAGACAAGTGTTATCACTGTGAAATCCGACTGATAAAGTTTCTGTGGACCCTTCGTGTGGGATAAACGAAATGAAGAACGACATGCAGAAGACAAGAAAAATGAAGAAGGTCAGATAGTCAGGCGAGGATATTTGAGTTCTTTATCTCTCTTTCCTTTGCATGTGACTGGTACGACCATAAATGCAAGAAAGTAATTTTATCAATCATTGATGGGACCCCAGTGCTTCCAGCAAGTGCTATCTCAACAATGGTATATAATAGCATCATTACATGAACCGGGCCGAAACATCGTAACTGTTTTATCTTTTATAAGCCAATAGAATATTCACATGTCTTTTAAATCGATGAGAAACATGAAACAGGACAATTCGAAACAATGTTTTGTCGCGATAAGCTCTCCAATAGCTTGAATCTTGGAGGACTGTTTTCACTACATTTGGCATCCTACTTATGAAGAAAAGGAGTGAGTCGTCAACACTAATTTTCCAATTGCTATGAGAAGCAATTTTTGTAACTTTCAGGACAATTTTCCATATGTAGAGTATCAGAGAACGATATGGAAAGGCTAAATCTGTTTTTAAATAGGCCTAATGTTCATTTTGAGTTTGAGGATAATATTGCAAATATGAACGATGTGTTGAAGGTAAAACACACGCTGAAACTTTTAGATGAGATGCCTGGCTTTCAATTAGATAAAGATTACATGTGAATGTACTCATGATTATAATGGTGCAGAAATAAGAATGAAACGATCTGTGTTTAAAATTCAAACTCAAAATTATGTGAGGTACTGACACATTACTATCATATTAAAGTGCGCTGACCACCACAAATTATTAGCAAACTAAAGTGCGGTCATATAATTTATATAAATAAATCACAAAATTTTAACCGTCAATATCTATATGCGTTCAAGTGCTTGCTTCAGTATGATTGTGTGCCCGTTGTAAAGATATTTTTACACCAGCTGCAAAACATTGCCATTTTTCCATCACTATCTTCACTTTGTTCAAACCAAGGGTAAATTCGTAATCAATTTAAATCTTCTCGCTGATTCTAAAGCAAAATTGAAAAGAGGATCTTGTCATTTTAATGGTCATGGTTTTACTCAATTAGTTCCTTTCGATATTCACTAGAAAGTTTTAGTGGTGTAATTTCACTTAGATTTTTACACGGTCAGTGTCTTTATGCAGATCAGTAGGTAGCTTTTTTGCTCTAGCATGTTTGGTTATTGAGCCTATGTATTTTGAAGACTGGCTGTTTTTTGATGTTTATGGTTTGCATTCTAAACTAAAAAAAAAACTTAGGAATTAAAATCTTATAACTTTATTAGCAAATTTAAAGGGCTCTTGACCTGTTATAACTTGTTCGGTTATTGAACCTATACATGGAAAAAAATTTATAATTGATCAACATTGTGTGATTGATTTAAGAGTCGTAATCAAACCCTTTTCGTAGGACAAACTATATGATTTTTTAATAAAATAATAATAATGAGTGGTGTTGAGCCCTCAACGAACAAGTCATCATATAATAACGAACAATTAAATTCATATAAGCCTTCAAAAAATTTTAGAAATTATAACCATTATAATCATTATAATAATAAGAATAATTATTTACATAAAACAAGATGGCTTAACGGAAAGACTTTTATTTTTGTACCTGAAGTTCCTTGTCGTTTATTAGATTTTTATGGTGGCAGAATAAATTATGATCCTTCTCAAGATAATTATGAGACTTACAACCAAGTAGTTGAATTTTTTCGTCATATTATAGATAGAATTGAAGTACAAGAAAAAATCATGGACTATAAATTTTTTATTAGTGAATATCCAATCAATAAAAATCAACAACAAGATCCAGAGAAAGAAGATACGAAACAAAAAAAACCCATTAAAATCAGAGAAATTATTCAAAAAAATAGAGAGAAAATTCAAGGATTTTATGTAAAGATAACTGAAGTAGATAAATCAAGACATCCTCCACAACCTAGATTTCATTGTATTTCATGTGATCAAGAATCAGAAACAAATAAAATATCTAAATTAAATTTTCCAACTAATACTCATGATTCATTAAAATTGCACAATTTATGGCTAGATGCTAAAGCAAGACCAATGTTCATAGTGACACCTAAAAGACATCTAGAAAGATTATCTCAATGCAACAATCAAGAAATTTTTAGCATGTTTTATTTAGCATTACAGATTTTAGAACAAGAAGTGAGATTAAGTAAAGCATATTGGAATAATATTAGATATATAGGAATGACTTTAAATCATGGCATTGCTAGAAATATTGAGCATTTACATCTTAAGGTTAAAGTTCTCAAGAAAGATTTCATTTGGTTTAGGAAACATGGATGGGACGAGGAGAAGGAAGAAAGGTATAAAATACTTGAAAGTGGTTTATACAAAAGGGATGCAAGAATAGCTAGAAAATAAATTATTACTTTTCTTTTTATTTTCATATAAAACTTTGCTAGTTTAATTAATTTATTAGAATTATTTATTTATTAAATGCAAATTTCTTCAATATCAGAATTTACATTTCGAGAAAATTTCTATTTATTTTATCAATAGAAATAATAAATTTTTTATTTAAAGAATCGGATTTTCCTTTGTGTGTAGTAGTGTGTTGTTCAAGCTGAATATTTGAAGTTGATATCCAATGATCATTTTAGAAGAAGGGAAAGCTGATAATGAAATCGATGCACTATTACCACTACTATTACGATTATTATTATAGACCGTCACATATATTATACCAAGATTATCATTTAATAAATAATTCATGTGAAATAAATTTATCAAAATGAAAATTGTAGATCTATTAATATACTGATGTGATTTCTTTTCATATAGAGGTCTGGCGTATATGACTTTTGTGGTTAATTCACCTCTTCTATGGTCACTCAACAACATGGTTGCATCTATATCGAATATTAATGAAACTAACTACTCTCACAGATTATACAATCTGATATTCAACAACTAAACAAATTCATTGTTGTTGAACTTTATGAGAGTTCAGAACTTTATTATAGCACATCAATGATTTTTCAAAATTAAATTTTGCCCACCAATCATTAAAAATATTAGTGTATATAGGTAATGACATTATTATTATATATGCAACAAAACCAGACAAAGTGAATGTTATATCACACACAATTACAGGGATCAAAATGATTTGGTTGCAAAAATCTATTAATTTTTTCTTGTTAATTAGCAATATAGGTATTGTAGAATCAATTAAATTTAAAAAGTACCACAATCAAAGTGATAATAATAATAATAATAATATTTGCTTATTTTGATGAAAATGGAGGCTTTGCAATTGGTGAATGTATCATTTTGCATGAATGATCCTTAAGCTCTTTCCAATAGTTTATGATCCTTATCTATTTAGTATTTGTTTTAAGTTAGCTATGAGCAATAATGCTTTATAATCAAGAAAGCTATGAAAAAATCTTTACATTAAATTTTAATATGTTTTCCATAATTTTTGATATTCTGAGGATACATTCATCAGATGATGGTAATATTAGTCCATCAAAATCATAAACAACATTCAGGCCATCTATATAAAAAAAAGATTTTTTCCCTGTTTAAAATAATAAAGTCAATTTATAACTCTTTGATGATGAAAAAATAACCACAGAAACTTGCTGTACTTACCATACGCCAAAATACCCTTTTTGATTACATATAGATAATGAAATTTTAAATTTTATGCAAATTAATTCTTCGTTACCCAATTACTCATTTTTTTATTAAGTGAACATGGTTTGAAAACGATTTTTTCTATATAGAAATCCCCCCATATATTGTAACACAGAAATAAAGTATTTTGCGCTTCATGAATATGTTGTATGTGAATTGCAAATTCACAGAGATTTCATTTTTACGCATAACAAATACAAAGAGTTTTTAAAAGTAATAAATGATTTCAGGATTGCGCCTGTGGCAAAGCGGGCCAAACTATAAAAAATGATAATGATGCTATTAATGGCATCTAAAAAAATTAATTTTGAATTTTTTCTTTTTTAATAGAATGAATATTTTTCAAAAATAGAAAAAATTTTAAAAAAATCTATAAAATGAAATTACATGAATTGATGAATTGATGAGTTGATGAAATGAATTAAATAATTTAAACTAATTTACAATTATACATAATACAATATCATTGAAAATTTAACTAGATATGACCACTCCTTGACATCCATTTTTCCATTCTACCACCTTCATCAACAATGTATTCAGCTTCTTTCATTCTTTTCCATTTATTCCAAAATTTCGAAGCTCCTTTATCATTTTCACTCGATTTTCTTGTCAAAAATTTCACTACACCTTGGAATTTTTTATCATATCTATCAGGGAAATGATGGAACAGCCAATTTCTTTTTAGACAGATATCTGTAAATAAATTTGGCGTGGAAATCTCACATACAATATCTTTTGTATAAAATGCAATTGAAGATTTAACATGAGTTCTATGAAAGCCTTTATAAAGATAATAAATGGTTCCCGGAATATATAATTTTTGTTCAGAAGATTTTGCTTTCAAAGAAGTACGATATTTGTCAATTGAGGTGAAAATTTTGGATAATTTTTCACTAGAATTGAACTAATTGAAATTAAATAAATTATAATATTAATTTATAATATTAACGATAATAATATAGTATAATTTTATGATTGATAATCATATTATATTTTACCTTTTTATAGTTTTCATTTTTCAATTCACTCGCAGCAAACTTGACTAATTCTTTAAAATCCATAAGATTTCCATAACTTAATCGTGGAATTACATCATTTTCATTAATAAAATTATTAATGTAATTCATTGCTTCGGGTTTTTTTGCCAAATCTAGTGAACAACATGGAGCAGTAGCAAAATTCCATGCAAGAATTTCTATACCATTTTCAAGTAAACTTTTACATTCCTCATGCAATAAAAGGGTTACTATTGAAGATATTGAAGCACCTAATGAATGTCCTATAACTTGAATAGCACGCGAATTAAATTTTTTTACAGCTTTTTTTATACTCTTAAGTGAACGTTTGACAAGATATTGAGCACTACGAAGTACACCTCGGTGAACAAGTCCGCCATTCCATGGTTCATAACGAGCCAGTGCATCTGTTATTACATCTGTAACATTCTAAATGATTATTGGATTAATTATTATTAGAAGAGAGAGTTAAACAGTAACTTTAATGATCAGTAATTTTCATTAAATGCACCATTGTTCCACGTATTGTTATTATAAGATTATTTGTCTCTGGATCTCTTATTATCATATAGTTAGGAACAGAGACAGTATTTAGACCGTATTCCCAACAAATAATATCATCTTTATCAAGGCCGAAAAATTCTTGAATAGCTTTTCGATCTGAATTTATTCTAAAGGCATCTATAATATATATATATAAATAACAATTCATTATTCAAATTTTCACCTCAATTTTTAAAAAAAATAAAAATAAAAAATAACGTACTTATTGGGGCCATATTATGACCATATCCAAACCAATTAAATAAGAATGAGCCCTTATAAAAAATTTAAATTTATTTTGATATTATATAATTTCAATTGTGTAGGATCAATATGTTTATTATTATAAGATTTACATACATAAGAGGCCATAGAATACTTTAAATATTTTTGAGCTAATTGGATTTTATCGATATCATGACAGATTTTACCTGTGACAGGGCTTTTATAATTAAAATTTTATAAAAAAAAGAAAAATTAAAAAATAAAGTCGAACTTATTTATAACAAACTATCGACATTCCCTTATTTATATGACGCACCTAGGTTTTTGAGTATAGTATTTTTCCAATAGCATATATGCTTTTAAGAACTCCAATTTGCTTAATCTCCAACCGTGATCAAAGAAGGTATTATACAAAACAGTTATTTCTTTAATTGCATCTCTAGTCTCTTTACTTAGTACCATATCAAGAATACCAAGAGACATTGACTCAGGATATACCACTACATTAGCAAATTCGGTATCATCTGCATTATCTATTTCAGAAGAAATCCCTTTTGTCATGGTGGCATCTCTATTTTGATTTGTTGTAGATCTCAGAGGTACAGTATTTGAACGTGTGGGAGTTTTTCGAGTATCGGAAGTTGATGAAATGAGAGGGGGATCATTTGGATAATGAAATTTTATACTAATTTGAACAGTTGCAACTTGACGACCATTAGATTCTAAAGGGATTTTACTATATTTGAATTTTTAAATTAATTGATTAATATATGTATAAACTTATGAAGCACACATATATAATATATAAAGTAACTCACACAATAAACTCATCTTTGTTAGGAATTAATGGCTTTAATCCAATGAATTTAAAAATACCATGGCCAATTTTTTTTTTGGCATTTAAAAATCCATGTTCATAAATATCTATTTTTAAATTATCAAACATTAAGGAATGACAATCAAAAGGAAAAAGAAATTTTTTTTGTGAATGATCTCCAATTGATTCACTTGGCTTTGTTTGATATGTAACGCAATGAATCACAAGACGAATTGAAGTCTTTGTTTTTGTATTTGATGCAAACTGTTTGTTAAAATCTAATGATATAATTTGTACTAGAATTTTATCTAAAGAAAAATATATATCATTAGGATTTTTTTTTAAAAAATAATTTAAATTATCATAAAAATAAATAGAAGTACCTGGTAAAACTTTACCGGAAACTTTTTTTTATGTTTATATACAAAATCAGTTAAATGAGTTATTTCAGGAGGTTTAAAAACCAAATATATATAATTATATTACTTATTGAATCAATATTATATCCTTCATTTTTTGCTATTTCGTTTTCAATGTCTATATTAGAGAAAAAATATATTTTTAATAAAATTAATTAATTATTGTTATCACAAGAATTAAGCAATAAATCACCATGATTAGACATAATACTGAGAGTAAGACTTCTTGGGCTTGTTTCAATATTTAATTTTTGTTTTTCATCTACTATAATGAAATAGATGAAACAATTAATAATCTGATTGACATATTATATATATTCATTTATAACCACTTACATTTCTGAGAGCTGTCAGTTTTAGTACTTTCAAAAGATTTATCACCTAAATTAAATTTATTTTCATTTTCATCTTTTAGACTAAAACTATCAACAAATGAATTAATAACTTTTTTTTTTTGAAAATAAAGCCTTCTGCTATTATAACTATTGAAATTCTTGATTGAATTAGTATCATCTGATTTAATGCCTATATCAATTGTCTTGGATGAATTTGATGTATAAGGCTTCCAAGTTTTAGCATATTCTTTGTTATTGATGATCTCGTCTTTATTATCATTATTTTCATCAGCCGTAGATCGAGGTTCATTTTCATCCTCGTCCAAAGAATAGTCGGATGTAGCATCACTTAGAAAATTATCAGCTTCACATTCCTCTTCTGGAATTATAACATCGTTTAACCTGACAATTTCTCGTGGTAAATAAAGTTGATTAATCTGCTCTTGTGATTTGGCCAATTCAACAACATTTTTTTCTAACTCGTCTATCATTTCTTGCGTTTCAGTTGATAAATCCTCGAAATCAGAATTACCTATACTAATAGAATTTCCGTTATTATTATTATTATTATTATTATTATTATTATTATTATCGCTACTGTCACTACAAGCAATATTATTATCAAAAAATATCTCTGGTATTATATTTTCTGGTAAACTTTTTGATTTGGCATTTTTTTGATGATTCGAATTTATCTTTTTGTATTTCTCCATAATTAGTTAGTATTGAACAAAAGAGACTGCTGCAGCTGCCAAAAATTCCTTGACCTTTCGCCATTCAATTTGCATAATTTTTGCCTTCTTTGGAATCAATAAGATTATCTGAATATTGTAGATTTATTTGTATATTAGTATTAGTATTAAAATTGATCGACATGAATTCCGATGATGAATTTCGGTATGTACCAATGCAGATTCCTACAAATTTAGAAACCTATCTGCGGAAAATTACTAATATATGATCCCCCACATTCCCTCACACTGAATTTTCTTATACACTGATTCTGATTCATTATTAAAAAGAACAAAATTAATTATCAAGTAGAAAAAAGAGAGAAAAAAAATGCCTTACGGTACACAAAACCAATACACCGAACCACCACCAGCTTATGCACAAGTACCTCATGTTGGAACTTCAGCAGCAGCTCGTGAACCTTTATTGGACAGAGAGGTAGGTGACGATGATGTACCAGACGATTTTAAATATGGAGTATCAGTTAGCGAATGTGATCTTAGTGTTCGAATGGGTTAGTATTAGTATTATGATAATAACATTAGATGATAATAAAGTAATAATAATAGTTAGCTAATTTCATGAGTTTATTATTTTTTCCTCCTAATTTTTAGCATTCGTGCGTAAAGTTTATTCCATCTTGTTTGTGCAAATATTGTTTACAACGATTATGGCAGCTTTTACGATGTATAATGACAATTTCAAGACCTGGGTTCAGTCAAAGTATATAAGTATAATTTTCAACTATTATTATTATTTTAAAAATGATTACTAATATATTTATATATAGTATTGTAGTTATGTATGTTGCTAGTTTTAGTACAATTCTTATTCTGTTTGGTTTGATATGGAAGCGTCGTTCTTATCCAACAAATTTCATATTATTATCTACATTTACACTTGCTGAAGCCTACACTGTTGGAACTTTTGGTTAGTGTTGTTATTATTAGTAATTTTCACTATCGGTAATTATTAATGACATAATTTCTAACAATTGTATTGATTTCTTATAATAAATTTTTTTTAGTTACTTTTTATGAAACCGAATTGGTTTTGCAAGCATTTCTTATAACTGTTGGATTATTTTTGGGTCTTACATTGTTCACTTTTCAGTCAAAATATGATTTTAGTGGATTGTTGCCATTGTAAGTAATATGTTTATGAATAATGAATTAATTAGTGAACAAATTTTATATTAATATTTTACATTTATGTATATATATGTATATACAGTTTATTTTATTCGTTACTTGTTGTTTTTATCATCAGCATTGTTTCATTATTCTTTCCATTCAATGGAACCTTTGATTTGATTATTGCGTCAGCAACAGCTATAATATTTTGTGGGTTTATTATTTATGATACTGATCAAATCACAAAAAGACTTAGCCCCGAAGAATATATTGTTGCATCGGTTGATCTTTATCTTGATTTTATTAATCTTTTTATTTCCATTCTAAGAATCTTGAAAGATGTTAATAATAATTAAATGATGAGTAATTAATTTATAGGAAATGATTTATGATTAATTTTCAGTTATTATTATTTTGTATATTGCTATTTACAAATAAATAAATAAATAAATATTTTGCATCATTACTCTTAGTGCAAAAAGATGATTATCTATGAGTATCTTGTTAATTTACACTTGTTACATTCTTTTGGTTTGCCCATTTATAAATTACATTATCCTTTTCAAAATCATAAATAAACCTTTCTTTACAATATTGTTTTTCTTTTTCAAAAAGCTCCTTATTTTCTCGAAAAAAAAATAATCTTTTCTATCTTCTCTTTTAGAACTCAATAGAGCATTATTATACATTTCCTTACGAAGTTTAATTACAAAGTTCTCACTCTTTCATTTCCTTTATTATCTAGTTGTGAAAGGATTGCTCCTAAAGCAAATGTCGATGCATCCGTAGATAAGATGAATGGTTGCTTCCAATTTGGATATACTAATATGGGTTCAGTGGTGAGTTGTTCTATCAAGTCTTCAAAAGCTCTTTGTTGTCTATTCGTCCAATTAAACTCTTCTCCTTTCTTCAATAGTTCCGTTAAAGGTGAAGATCTTTTTGCAAATCTTTTTACGAATTTTCTATAGTAATTGCAGAGTCATAAGAAACTTCTAACTTGGGTAACATTGGTAGGTTCTATAATTCCATTGGTATTAAATAAGTCGGCCGAATCAAAATCTGTTAATGGTGGAGCTATTTTGGCATTATGTTTATTATCTCCGCTTTGAAGAAAAAGCAAACAATATTTATTGCAAAGTTATTATCAATCCTCGAACAGAAATTAAATGTGGTGCAAAATATGCTAATTCTGACATCACATCAACTTCAACATTAAATTATCATTTAAAGCATTGTCATCAAATTTTAGTTAATCCTGAAGTATGTTTAGATTTTACATTATTTGTTTAATAAATGTATTTAATTTATCATAATTCAAATTTTTTAGAAAATCGATTTAAAACAACCAAAATTAGCAGGTGTGTTTAAAAAAACTAAAGAACATACACAGCACAAGATGAATGAATTACATCTTGCTGTGGCCGAATGGGTTGTATTAGACTCTTTACCTTTAATATGCTACACAGGAAGGTTTTAAAAGATTTATCAAGAAAATAGATCCTAAATTTCGTGTACCAAATATAATAAAACAAAAATATTATTGCAGACAAATATCTTTCAATACCTACAACGTCTGTGCCATCTGAAAGACTTTTTAGCGATGTTGGTAATCAAATAACTGCAAAAAGGACTAGATTAAGTTCTGAAATTGTTAACAAAATTTTATTTTAAAAAGAAATTAAATGTAAAAAATTAAATTTATGAAAATTTTATAATAGTTATTTCAACTAAATATGGCAATGGTAATTTAAACGGTGCCAATCTCTAGACTATCTTCAATTCGAAATCAAAAAAAATGCCAACACACTAAAAGTATGACGAAAAGATTAAACAAAAATGAGTTTATCGAAAATATCGAAGATACAGTTGATGATAATCTGGGTAACGTTGAATCAGCAATAGAACATGCAAAAAAATTTTTTTGGGTTGTAAATTTTGTTTTTATTAAATAAATTTGTTTGATTTTTTCATACATCGTTCATGTTTTGTCTTAATCTTATATCTTAAATTGATTGTGTTTACAATCATTTCGTCAATCTTCATTATATTGTTGTTATTTTGATTATATCGAGAGATATGGTCAAGAGAAGAGTTAGGAAGAGAGTTATTCTTTAACCAAGTCGAAAACCAACCCTTTAAATACATTTTCGAACAATACAATTTAATTTATTAGACTGTTTCAAAGGTTTGCCACATGGTTGCTTCAACTTCTTAAATTCAAATCATTTGTTAACGAACAATTGTTGGTGAAGTGATTGTTGGAATCAAATTTTGTGCTACCAGAACGGTCTCTCCTGTTCGCTTATGATTATATTATATAATTAATAAAAAATGTAATTTTTTCAAATTGAATTCATATATATACACTGCCTGGAAGAAAGTATCCGAACCTCGATTTTTATTAATTCCGCAAACTTTTACATAATAAAATTTTTTTTTTGAAAATATCATCATGTAGCTTAGGTTCTAACGAATGTGTATGCAATATTTCACAATTCTGGTATTTATATTAATTTTTTAACCAAAAAAAAACGAACTTCAATTAAATTTGTGATTTTCATCCTCGAATTTTGTTTAAATTTGTATTTTCTCAAAATTTT